GTCACTATGAATTCCCCCCCATATATTGAATATATCCTAATAAAAATTTATTTTAAAATAAAGCCGAGTCATGAAACATTCCAGGGGAATTCATGCAGTGATCACTTAGCAGTTTGGAAAAAATCAGTCTGGCAAACCAACTTTAAGTGAAGTTAGCCAGGCTCAGAAGGCCAAAAATTGCATGTTCTCCCTCATATGCAGATTATAGACCTAAAACAAATGCAGTAATATTATTGGACATGGGTCACACACTAAGGAGAGTATGCTCACGAGAGAAATAGGGAAAGAGAAGAAAACCTAAAACTTGAATGTGGTTGATGTGCTCACTGTATAGTAGTGAATATAGTAATCTTAAACTGGCTGAGGCTACTATGGGAAGGGGACTAGGAAGTAGTGCAGAGGTCTGGTAGAGAAGAATCAATGTCGGTTGCAATACACAAGTGCATGGAAGCAAGGCTAGGAATCTCTCTGCATAGCTATCTTTATCTCACATAGCAAAAAAACTGTTATGTTTTCTCTTCAACAAAGTCAGAGAAGGGGGCAGAACAGGTTCTGCCTGGAAGCGGGGTGGCAAGGGAGGTGGCCCAAACAGTGTATATACATATGAGTAAATGTAAAAACAATAAAATTTTTTAAAAAGATGAAAAAAATGTGAAAGGAAAAAGGAACCTTTATTCACTGTTGGTGGGAATGTAAATTAGTGCCACCATTATAGAAAGCAGTATGGAGGTTCTTCAAAAACTAAAGATAGACCATATGAACCACTAATACCACTCCTGGGCATATACCTGAAGGAATAAGCTAGGATACAATAGACCTACTTGCACACCCATGTTCATTGCAGCACTATTCATAATAGCCAATCTTTGGAAATAGTCCACATACTCTACAACTAATGAATGGATTATGAAAATGTGGTATGTATACACAGTGCAGCCATAAAGAAAGAATGAAATTGTTTGTAGGTAAATGGATGGAACTAGAGTCAGCCATGTTAAGTGAAGTAAGCCAGGCTCAGAATGACAAAGGTAGCATATTTTTCCTCATATGTGTAAGCTAGGCTAAAAGATAAATGTATACATAAATACATATATGATTATATATATATACACACACACACACATATACCTGTCTATCCTGCCTCTTCTCTCCCCTCACCAAGGGAACTACAGGGAGGTAAGAGAGAAAAATAAAATAATAGAGAGTTAATACTAATGAGATACATTGCATCAATGTATTAAGCTAGTATAATGAAGTGCACTGAAAGTTATTGAATAATAGGGAAGCAGTGCAAAGTAATAGAGGGATTAATATGATGAAAATATGATATGTACATGCATGAAATACCAAACCAAAACCTGCTTGAACAAACATTATATACTTTAAAAAATGAAGGTCATGAAGGTACAACATGTCCGGTCTAGGAATCAATACCTGAGAGAAGGAAGAGAGTAAAAGGAGAAGATGAAGGAGGGTGAATATGGTTGATGTATTTTGTATACATGTTTGAAAATTGAATGATGAAACATATTGAAATTGTTCTATAAAGGGGGTGGGGGAGATGAGGGAGAATGATAGAAGGTACAAATGTAATTAAGATACATCGTAAGCACATATGTAAATGTCACAATGAAACCCCCTTGCACAACTGGTATATACTAATTAAAAAATAAGTAACCTAGAATAACTACTGAAATTTCCCGAATAGGAATAAACCTATCAAAGAAGGTGAAAGATCTCTACAATGAAAACTATAAAATTGAAGAATTTATTGAAAAAATAAATTGAAGAAGACATTAGATGATAAAAAGACCTCCATCTTATGGATCAGGAGAAGTAAAATTGTGAAAATGGCTATACTGTCAAAAGCAATCTACAGAATCAGTGCAATCCCAATAAAAATTTCAATGTCATTTTTCACAGAAATAGATAAGTTAATCCTAAAATACATAATGAGAGCACAAAAGACCCCAAATAACCAAAGCAATCCTGAGCAAAAAGAATAAAACTGGAGACATCACAATATCTGACTTCAAACTGTAATACAGAGCCATGGGGTCATTCTGGCACATAAACCAATGGAACAGAATAGAAGATCAAGAAATATACCACAACAGCCTCAGCCATTTGATTTCAAGAAAGGAGCTAAAACCTATTGGGGAAGACACTCTCTTTAATAAATTGTGTTTGGATGAGTGGGTGTCTACATGTAGAAAAAACTGGATGTCCACATGTAGACAAAAACTAGACTCCCTTCTTACACTGTACAAATCAATTAAAAATGGGTGAAAAATCATAATCTTAACATAAGACATAATACCGTGGAACTGCTAGAGTTCAACATAAAAAACCTTTGAAAATATAGGCATATCTACTGCTTTCCTGAATAGGAAAAATATTTTCAGGAAATAATAGCAAGAATTGACAAAGGAGACTGCCTCAATTCAAAAAACTTCTGACCAGAATAAAGAGACAATTACAGAATGGGAGAAAGTCTTTGCCAGCTCTTCACTGGATAAAAGATTTATATCCACAATATATAAAGAACTCCAAAAATTAAACACCAAATGATCAAACAAATTAATACATGGATAAATGACTTGAACAGGCTGTTCTCAAAACAATTAAAAATGGCTAATATATGAGAAAATATTCATCATCCTTAGCTATAAAGGAATGGTGAATCAGAGCAACATTAAGATTCTGTCTCACCAATTTCACAATGACAATCATCAAGAAAACAAGCAATGACAAATACTAGCAAGGATGTGGGGGAGAAGGGACCCTTAAATCCTATTGGTAGGATTGTAAATTAGCACAGCCACTATGAAAATCATCAGTATGGAGGTTCCTCAAAAACCTAAAACTAATATTACCATATGATCTTGCTACTACTACTCCTGGGTATGTATCCAAAGGAATGTAAGTCAGCATGCAGTGAAGATACTGCATACCTACATTTATATCAACATTATTCATAATGACAAAGCAGGTGTTATTAGCTATTAACCCAGGTGCCCATTAACTAATGAGTGAGTGAAGAAAATGTGTGCACAATGGAGGGTCATTAAGGCATAAATTATGTTATTCAGCTTAAAATTTTCAAAGTTCACTGTACTAATAGAATAAAGGAAAATACTATTGTGGTTAACTCAGTAGATGCAGAGAAAGCATTTGCTATATGTTAATTTGATAAATTTGGTAACTATTCATAATTAAAATTTTAAGCTCATTGTAAAAGGAACCTGTTTAATCTGATAAACAATATCTACTAAAATATATTGCAAGCATAATACTTAATGATGAAATACTGAACACATCCCTCCCGACTTTGGAAACAAAGGTATCTAATATCAACAATTATATCAAACATTGTCCTGGAGTTTCTAGACAATGAATTAAACAAAAATATAGAAATAAAAGCAGTAACTATTGGAAAGGAAGATATAAATTCTTTTGTTTATTTGCAGATGATACTTTTGTAAATGTAAGAATTGTTGAAAAATTTAAAAATGTAGTAAGATAAGTAAAGTTTTCAGCTACTAGATCCATAAAAATTGTTTAAGTATGTACTATTATAAAATTAAATTTACAATACCATTTACAACTGTACCAAAAGCCATCAGTTACCTAGAGATAACTCTAATAAAAATGTGCATTACTTTTATGTTTAATGACTTTAGAGTAAGGAACGTGTCCTTAACCAGCCACAAAAAAATATTCACCATATAGAATTAGATGAATACATTTAATTATGAAAATCAGCAACTTCTCTTCACCAAAAAAATGGCCACTATCAGAATTCACTCCCTTTGGATTGCATTACATTCATTTATGAGAGAGAGGGAAACAGACACACACACACACACACACACACACACACACACAGAATTTATTCATTTTAAGGTATTCTTTCACACAATTGTGATTGCTGGCAAGTCTGAAAATTTTAGGGCAGTCCACAAGACTATAAATTCTTCAGGACTTGATGTTGCAGGATTGAATGTGAAAACTATCTTAAAGGCAAAATTTCTTTTAAAAGAAACCTCAGTTTTTTCTCTTAAGGCCTTCAACTAATTGGATGAGACCAACCTATATTATGAAAGTTAATCTGCTTTATTCAAAATCTACTAGTTTTAATGTTAATTATATATAAAAAATACCTTCACAGTAGTGTCACAAAAACCAGGCACCCATAACCTAGTCAAATTGATACCATCACATATATTTATGTAAGTGTTTACCACTATGCCTGAAAACATTTAAGTCTTTACTATTATTTGCTTTCCTCTCTGTATCACATTTGGATCTTTGATTCTAACTAAACTTTTAAATCTGCCTACCTCTCTCTGAGTAAAACTACATTGCCTTTGTTTAAGGCACTTACCAAAGATTTCTGGAATAAATCCACCAAATTAGAGAAACTTCTTATTTTACTTGAAGCACTCTTTCCTTTTTTTAGCATATAGCAGGCTGTCAAATATTTGTTAAATGAGAAAAAAACTGGAAATATTTGGATGCATTTTAAAAAGGGACTTGCTATCATATTCGCCTATAATTTTATCATAACTGCAGCTTGTGTAATGTTAAGAACTTTAGTCCTTTGGTAAAAATGAAATTGAATTGAAAAAAGTGAATAAAAGGCAAGATACTTTGATCACATGGACAATCAGTGTGGTATCTTCTTCAGAATGTGAATGATAAAGGACAAATATGTATCAGGAAAATTTGTGTCACCCATTCTGTACATTTTTTTGTCACACTCTCAATATTTACCTATTATGTGCTATTCTCCAAAAGGCTGTTTACCCAGAAGTCATTCATGATATCAAATATGCAACTATTAAATTCTTAGAACGTCTTGAATAAATAAAAATGTATTTTACCACTTAATTACAGATACTTTGGTTTCTTTTAAGAGGGAAAATGCTTTTTATGAAAATATAATCATTGAAAACAATATATTTATCAATATAACTCCTTTCTTTTAATTTTTTAAGGTGCTTTATCCAGCCTGAGTCCTGTGAATTCTCCCAGCCATGGGCCACTGTCTCCTGGCTCTCTAACTAATCGGTCACCCGTAGAATTTCCTGATACTGCTGATTTTCTTACTAAGCCAAGTGTTGTTTTACATAGATCTCTGGGAAATGCACCCAGTACACCAGATTTTTATCAGTACCTTAGAAATTCTGATAGCAATCTGTGTAACAGGTAAGTTTCCTAAATTTATTATTTCTGTTTCAAATTATAAGTTATTTTAATAAAGTATTACCATTTTCCTTATTATATATTGTAACTGGATGATGAATTAATGCTACATCCTCTTTATATAATTTTTATTCTAAATTTTTTGCATTTCAGTGCTATTGTTAATTTTCTAATTAAATGGTCTCTAACTGAGGTGAAATATGATCCTACTCATCATAACATATCAGTAAATAGAGAATTATTTTTAATATATACTACTTTAGTTCCTTTCATAGTACCCAGTTCTTGATAGGAACATTGGTTTTACCTCAGATCCCAATTGACTTTCAAAAATATGTTACTTCCTCCAAGGTGACACAAATGGTTCCTAGTAATATAAAGCCTTCTAAGTTTATAGAGAGATTTTACAATCTAGGATGTGTTTCAGTTGGGATCTTGGTTAAACATTAAGCACATTTTCTAATCATGCTTACATTTAAAAAACTTTTTAAATATCACATATCATATATAGTTATATATCTTTTTTATTCTATAAGCTGTGGACGTCAAATACTAAAATACATTTCAACATGTGAATCTGATGGTACAGACCACCACGGTGGAAAATCAGGTGAGATTGTATTTGCAGTTTCTTACAGTGTTTTTTGAATGGATGAGTGAATAGGTTTAGCTTCCATTTATCCATCTTTTAGTTTTCGTTTTTGGTTTTCGTTTGTTTATGGTGCTGAGGATCAAGCTGAGCATAAGCCAGGCAAGCATTCTACTGCTGAGTCACACCCTTAGTCCCATAGTTTTTACCACGTCACAGAGGAGTTATTAAGAACCAGTCATAGATGATAAGTGGCAAAAGTATTTTGAGGAATTGAAAATATGTAGTAGAGATGAATGAAATCTTTGGTCAGTATTAATAAACAGTGAAATTATTAATGTTGGAATTTGTACTGTACCACCTAAGCTTGAAAGGGTTTACATACCTTTTTATGGCATAGAGAACATTGTATGACATAGAAGAGTGATTAATTACATCATTCTGAAACATTTTTTATCATCCAATAAGAAATATTGTTGATGAAATTATACTTGTTCTATATATTTAAAAATTGATAAGCCAAACTACCAATAATAGTTAATTAAGTAACTCAAGCCATCATCACCTCAAGCAAAGCTAGAAAAGCTGGACAAGTTGTTTTTTCATAAAGCAAAGAGAAGCCATAAAAGACTAATAAGCTCCTAAGAAACACCAGTATAAGATCTGAAGTAGGATAGGAGTTCAAGAAAGTGATCCTGGAGCTTAGGCCTACTAAAAGGATGTCTGCCAATGTAGAGGCACATTGACTGATAGAATGAGCAGACCTTTTAGGAAGTTTTATGAAACTAAGGAGACAGACACTCAAGTTAAAGCCTTGCAGTGGAATACATAATTTGGTAAACCCTGAAGTGTTGCACTCTAGAAAAAAAGGATAAAAAATAATTAGATAAACCTTCTTTGGGTTTATAGGCTCATGTCAATCCCTCCTTTGGTTGACATTTACCCCTTTAAAGTGTGCAATTCAAAAGGTTTTTCTTTTTTTTTTTTAACATCTTAAAGGGTGGTTTAAAAACAAAAGAAGATGCTGACCAGACCTTTGCAAACTTCAAAAAAAATAGAGGAGGTGGGAAAACTTCTCATATCATTCCATAAGATTGGTATTACCCTTACACTGTAACCACACAAAGTCATCAAAAGAAAACTACAGACTATTATCTCTTATGTGTAGTAGACATAAAAATTCTTAAAATACTAGGCAACTGAATCCAGCAATATAAAAAGGTCACAGTGTGACCAATAGTATTCCAAGAATGTAAGAATGACTTGGCACTTGGAAATCAACAAATGTAATACACCAAAATAATAAAGAGAAAAAGTCCACATGATAATTGCAGAAAATGTGTTAGGTAAAATCCAACACTTTTTTTTTGTGGTACAACAAACTAGTATAAGTGAGGAAGCTCCCCATCCTGATAATAGGGTATATTCACAGCTGTCATTATCTTTATTAGAAAGCAGTTAACTTGATTCTTAATGAAGAAAGACTGATGTTCTCCTCCAGCTCAGTAAAATCCTCAGATGAGGATTTTTTTGGTCTCAGCAATGCATTCAACATTGTATTGGATGGTTTAGTCCAAGAAATTAGAAAAATAAACCCATCCAGAATTAAAAGGAAGAAATAAAACTATTCCTACTTACAAATCATATAGATCCTTTGTGTAGAAATCTCTAAGAGAAAACACACACACACACACACACACACACACACACACACTCACTCAGTTGCTTACTCTACTACTAGAACCAATAAACAAGTTTAGCAAAGTTACATACTACAAGATTAGTACACAAAAAATCAGTTGTATTTCTATATAAACCATTGTAAATTGGAACTAAGAAAATATTTCTATGCACAATAGTATCAGAAAGGGTAATGTAGTTAGAATAAATTCAACAAAAGAGCAAAAGATTTATACATTGAAAATTATAAAACATTGCTGAGAGAAATGAGAAAAATCTGAACAAACTGAGAGACATTTTGTAGTAAAAGATTGGAAGACTCAGTAATGTTAATGTGGAAGTTCTCCCAAACTAATATACAAATTTAATCCACTCCTTATCAAATTCTAGCAGGATTTTTGTGGGGTAGAAATTGACAAATTGGTGTTAAAATTTCTATGAAAATATAAATGATTGAAATAGACAACATGAATTTGAAAAGTAACAAAGTTTGGGGACTTATACTACTTGACTTGCAAAGTTACTATGGAACCACCAATTAGGACACTGTGACTTTGGCACAAAGATGATTTTATAGGCCAATGGAGCAGGACTGAAAGTCCAAAAGGAAATTCTTATATTTATGGTCAATTAGATTTTGAAAAAGAAGCCAAGACATTCAAAAGAGGAAGGATTATTTTTTCAACAAATGATACCAGGACAATTGGATATTCATTTGCCAAAAAGAACGAACCTAGACCCTCACCTCACACTTGCATAAAAACTACTCAAAATAATTCATAGTGTAAGAATTAAAACCATAAAAGTTCTAGAAGAAAACATACAACCAAGTCTTGTGACCTTGAGTTGAATAAAGCATTCTTAGATACAATTTCACAATCTATGTAAGAAAAAATTGACAAATTGGGCTTTAGCAAAATTAAGTAATTTTGCATTCAAAGGATACTAATAAGAAAATGGAAATACAAACCATAGGTTTGAGAAAACATTTGCAAATTGTATGTCCTATTAAGGACTTGTATCCATGATTTATAAAGAACTCCTACACTCAGTAAGTCGGGCTGGAAAATATAGCTCAGTGGTAGAGCACTTGACTAGCATGCACAAGGTTTGCTTCCCAGCATCACCCCCCAAAAAATCAATACTTAATTAGAAACACAGAAAAGAGTATGGTTGTATACACTTGTAACATCAGCATTTTAGAGCCAGGAGCAGGAGTTCTGAGACCATCCTAGGCTACATAGCATCTCAAAAACATGTAGAAAAGGTTTTGGGTATTTTGATGAAAGTCTTTGGTGAAGAAGATAAATGAATTAATTAAAACACGAGATGAAAGAAAGCATTACTCATTAGGAAAATACAAATTAATACAATGAGAATACTATACTCAAAGAAAACTAAAATAAAAAAGAGAGTCCATACAAAGTTCAAGCATACAAAGAAATTGGGACTTTTGTGCACTGCTAATAAGAATGTGAGTTGACACTACTTGGAAAATATTTGACAGTTTCTAGAAAGTTACACATAAATTTACTATATGACTCAGCAATACCACAGCTAAGACTCTACCCAAGAGAACACAGAGCACTCAGAAACAGGTATGTGAATGCTTACACATCACTAGTCATGACACTGCAAATTTGGAAACACTACAAGTGTCCGTTAATCTGTGGGCAAAGAAACATCATATGGCATATCCCACAATGGAATTCTGTATAGCAATTAAAAAATGAACTGATACATGCTACAATGTGGATGAACTTTAAAACAGATTGGTATAAATATAAGAAGCTAAGCTAAAAAGATTATTATATGATTACATTTATATGAGATTCTCAAAAGGCAAATTTATAAGGGGATGAAAATGTTCTAAAACTGGATTGTCATGATAGTCGCATAGCTTTAAATTTACTAAAATTGTTTAATTGTACATTTATGCTATGGACTAAATGTTTGTGTTTCCTCACAATTCATATGTTGAACTCCTATCCCTGAATGTGTTGGTATTAGGAGGTGGGGACTTTGGGATTAAATCATGAGAGTGGTCTCATAAATATAATTAGTTTCCTTATAAAAGAGATCTCAGAGAGCTCTCTACCCTTCTTTTAAAAGTGCCATGTGACAAATTAGCAGTTTGCATTCCAAAAGAGAGCCTTTACCAGAACTTCACCATGCTGGCACCCTGACCTTAGCCTCCAGAACTGTGAGAAATACATTTCTGTTGTTTATAAACTGCCCGGTATATTGTGGCTTGAACTGACAGTTTACAATGGGTGGATTTTAATGTGTGTGATATACGTAATAAAGCTTTTAGAAAAGAGCAGCAATTTGCTAATTTTCATAGTTCTTGGGGTTTATTAGTCTCAGCTGGGTGATTCTCCCTTGAGGACTTTCTCAGGGAAGCAGTCATTTGAAGTATTATTGGGTTGAATTTCCAAAATGGATTACATATGTCCATTTGGCTACTGACTAGTCCATCTAAATATGGCCTCCCCATGGGCTTTTTCCAATTTGCTGGCTGGATTCTAAGAGAAGATAAAGTGGAAGTTTCCAGTCCAGTTAATGGCTCAACTCAGAAGAAAGTGTCACTTGCCTATTGGGTTAATCAGATCAGACATGAAACCTGTTGATAATAATTTACTCCAAATAGAGGAGTGATAAAAATGCATTTCAGGAAAGTGTGTGGAATAAAAGATAGTTTTATGGACATCTTTGTGAAAGAAATTGCTACAATAATCTCAATTATTTTTACTATATATAGATTTTAGGAATTCAGATCATTAAAAGTAATTCATGAACTACATGTCAACAATTTTTACATTAACAACTATTTTAAAATATCATTGTAGTTATTGCCTTTACTTACCAAGAACACTGGAATACCATACTCCGCCCTAACTGCAGGGGTACATTCCAAGACCCTCTGAAATGACAAATAGTACTGAATTCTTTATATACTTGTATATAAGCATTACAATTCCACTATAGTAGATCTGAAAACTGGGATGGATACTAAGTTTAAAACAGATGGGTAGCATATGTAGCCGGTACACACCGGACAAAAGGATGGTTCACATCCTTCATGGAATGGAGTATGACAGTATGAGATTTTATCAGTTCAGTTGGGCACACAGTTTAAAACTTATGAATTACTTCTGGAATTTTTCGTTTAATATATTTGGACCACAGTTGACCATGGGTAACTGAAACTGAAAAGTGTAACTACAGATAAAAGGGGACTGCTGTATTCTGAATTTCATATGTTAAAATAAATGTTTTTCATTTGGAAATACTGTATTTTCCAAACAGTAATGCTTTCTGATCATCAGTTAGTGATTTGATTTTATATTCACTATGCTGGGTTCAGAATTGACTAACATTTGTTGATTACCTTTTATGTGTAACATCTACTAATTTAGGTGTTATTGTCCACATTTTATGGGTGGGGGGCAAGCTTGCCATTGTTAAGTACAAAAATCAGGATTTGAGCCAAGTTCTGAAACTTCTTCAGTGAGTACTCTTATTTATCTGTTTAGTTACTTATTTATTTAATTAATTAATTTAATTTTTTGAGACAGCATCTAGCTAAATTTCCCAGGCTGGCGTCAACTAGAGATCCTCTCATCTCAGCCTTCCAAGTATCTGGGACTGTTGGCACACAACACTGGGCTCTGCTCAGTGAATACTCTTAAAAACTTATTTTTACTTAAAAGAATAAAACAGGCTGCTGTGCTTATAGTTTTAAGTACCTGCAAGAATGAAGCAAGAGCATTGCTAGGAGGCCAGTCTGGGCAACTTAGTGAGAGGTTATGTATACAAACAGAGAGACAAAACAAAAATTAAAAATCTTACATATTGAAAAGTGCACAGATCATGATTTTGTAGCTTGGTGAATTTTCATAATTGTGCAATCAGTATCCAGAATAAGAAACTAAACACTATCCCAACCTTAAAATTTCCCTTTTATGCCCCCTTCCAGCCATATTCTGCAAAGGATACAATCTCCTTGTTTTTCAGTACACATATGTATCACTCATGAATACTCAGTTTGATATGTTTTTGAACTTTTCATTAGGAATCACAGAATGTGTACCTTTTCCCCCCTGGCTTCCTTCATTAGACATTATATTTTTAAGAACCACCCATATTGCTGTACATGGTTGTAGTTTATTCTTACTCCTCTATAATGTTCAGTTGTATGAATATACTGCAGCTTATGTATATATTCTATTGTCAGTGGGTTTGGGGAAATAGTCCTGTTCAGGGTACTATAAATAGAATAAATAGGAACTTTTTTTAACACACAAAAATGAATACTACTTGACGATGAATACAACCAGTGCTGTTCTTCTTTTCCATGTGACTTGATAAAAATATTAATCACATGAGCAGAGGCATAACTTACAGTTCATGATACTGTGGTTTAAATTTTACATATGGCTTAGTTGTATTCATTTATAATTGTACACTTAGAGGTTTTTTGTTTGCCTCTGTTTCCTTTTTTATTATTGTTGTACTGGGGGTACATTGTGACATTTTTAAAAGTTCTCACAATATATCATATTTGAATTCATCCCCTCCATCATTATATCTAAAGATTTAAGATGATAATGTTTACATCAAATTGGCGAGACAGTTCCTATTGATAAGAATTGGTCCTTTCTGTTTCTTGCTATTATAAAAAAAATCCACCTTTCTCTTTCATTTGTGAGTGACTATATAAAGCAAGTCCAATATTTGAAATATCTGTGTTCCTTAAAACAAGGTATCTGTGCAAAATAGTCTAGCAAAATACAACTTAATGGTGTGATTAAGTATTTTAAACTGAATTCCACCATGGTTAAGTCTGAGTATTTTAAAACAATAATCATTTTTCTTATAACGCTGTGCATTGAAGGCAGTTTTTTCTCTTTATTACTACCTATACTTTTTGAAAGGTGAGGAAGACAGCACCATTTTCTCAAAAGAATCATTCAACCTTATGGAAACTCAACCAGAAGAGGAAGCAGAGAACAGAGTCTGCAGAAAATTACCTTTGGAAGGTGATAATCACCTAACAGAAGAGGCACAGCAACCAAATGTAAAAGATAAACTTTTCAATATGATTATGTTAAGGTGAAATATAGTTAGTACTGGTGTAATTATTTTTATCCAGAGCAAGATTATTAATATAATGATATGTTTATTTTTTATTGAAAAGTTATAATAAGTAAAATAGTGCTTGGGTTATAAATAATAATTAGTTCTAAACCTGTCATCATAGAGCAATAAACTGTATTCATTTATTCATTTATTCATTTTTTACCTTTTGTATTTTTACTTTTTTCCCTTTTTTGGAAAAAATTTAATGTTTTCCTTTATGTGCTGGTTGGGGTTACTGTGGCATTTATACAGGTTCTTACACTGTATCAAGTATATAATGCATGAATTCATCCCCTCTGCTGGTCTCCTTTATCTCCCCCTCCTCCAATTCCTGAAGTAATTTTAACAGGTATCATTTTTACATTTATATACATGTGTGCACATTTTTTGTACCATATTCAACCTCCTATGCCCTTCCCCCCTGCCACACTGGTGCCACCCTTCCCCCCAGGCAGGACTAGTTTGCCTTCCTAGTCCCAATTTTGTAGAAGAAAAAAGAGAAGAGATAAAACAAAAAACAGGACATTTTAGCTTGAGATAAAGGTAGCTACACAGGGAGTTTCCTTGTGATAGTTCCATGTATATATGTATTATAACCCCAATTGGTTTATCTCCTCTAATTTTCTTCATTCTGCCTTAGTCCCTTTCTTGTGGTGGTTTCAGTCATTTTAAGATTTCTATATTTATTCTTGTATTGAGAATATGTCAAAATGAACACATTTTATAGTAAAATTATTTTATTCTGATGCTATATATTTTAAAGTATAGAGAATGTGTGTATAGTCATTAAAAACAAAGAAAATAATCTACTTTCAATAACAGTTTTTTCTTAATATTCAAAATTTAAGGTTTTAGGAAATGATCACATCCATTTATTTGGGTAAACTGTCTTAGTAACAAATGCCAAAATAATGAGATGAGGCTTTTTTTTTACATTTTTATTAACACATATTAGTTATATAGGGTGGTTTTCATTATGGCATTTAGGTGAATTTTTTCTCTTATCCTTTGATATCTATTACTGCTAAAATAAAACAATGAACTTCAGATTTGTAGAGTGAATTAGAAATATTTTATCAATAAAAATAGGTTAATCAATCTTCTGATTCTCAGAAGACATGTTTATAGTTGTCTGATTATAGTATTCCACAAAGAAAAAAGTTAGTGTAGGTAAAAGTATGTAGAATATAGAATGTATATAGAATGGAAAGTACTCTTTTTTTTTGGGCAACATTGAGGTTTGAACTCAGGACCTCTCACTTGCTAGGGAAGCACTCTGTCACTTGAGCCACAACCCTAGTCCTTTTGACTTTAGTGATTTTTCAGATTGGATCTTGCTTTTTCACAGGGCTGACCTTGGTCTGGAATCTTCCTATCTTTGCCCCCCAAGTAGCTGGGATTACAGGCAGGAAACACACTGCCCCAGACACTGACCAGTTTTTAATATTCAACTTTAAGTCCTTATTTAGATGTAATAATAATAAAAGGTAACATTTTTTCTTCTTCTCTGTGTATAGATTGGACAGGAAGCATTACTGGACCTTATGTTAGTAGAAGATTATGACTCATTAATAGAAAAGATGAGCAACTGGAATTTTCAAATTTTTGAGCTTGTAGAAAAAATGGGAGCAAAATCAGGAAGGATTCTCAGTCAGGTTTGTTTTCAAATCTCTACTTTTTATTTTAAATTAATATTTTTCTTAAATCTTTTTAAAAGCAAAATCTAAATATCATAGTGTTGGTTTAGGTACTAGTTCGACAATGTTCACTGAATTATTTTTTTAAATAAAACCAAAACATATAAAATAATTATATGTAATGTATAATATGTATAGTTTACATATAAAATGTATGAAAAGTAGTGTATTTGACTATGGGTTACAGTAAAGAAGTAATCATAATGTATCTTTTCTTTGAAACTTGATGTACCTGTTTTTGAAAAGATGTGAAAAGTGCTTTAGATTTAACTACTGAAGCTTAAGTTTCATTTTGTTCACCTTCCCTCCTTATACTTTGCCCAAGGTCAAATAGTTCATTTTGTGATTAAACCTAGACTCAGAGTTCTAACAAGTCCATATTGCAGTATGAAATTTACCTGTCCAAAATATGACTGTAATTAATTCTTTAAATATTTTATTGACAAAATGCAAAAACATTTATGTGATGGACATAAAAGTTCATCCCATTAACTTATGATCAAAAATATGATAAATATATTTTATGACCTGTTTAAAATACTTGAGGATAGAATAGAATCCATAGTGCTCTTCCATTTATTATCAGTAAAAAGTTAAAGAGAAGAATGGAAAGTTTTAAAAATTGGGACATGGTATGTGTGGTAAGCTTCCTTTGGTTTTTATGGGCCTTAGGGTGATGTCTCCTTTATTATTTTGGGGGAAGAATTAATCTCAGAGAAGCTATTTATAAATTAATTTAAAGATATATATATATATGGTTAACATTCTTCACTACAAATCCTAAAAACATATTTTACTCAGCTACAGATAGAAATGCTGATTTTTAAAATGAACTTTATTTTAATTTATGTTTAGGTTATGTATACCTTATTTCAAGACACTGGTTTATTGGAAATATTTAAAATCCCCACTCAAGAATTTATGAACTATTTTCATGCATTAGAAAATGGCTATCGAGACATTCCATGTAAGTATTAACATGCTCCTTTATTCAAGTTCAAGTAATATTTTAACTTTCTCTTCAGTTGGTCCCTTAAATTTTTTTTTTAACAGTACTGGAATTTGAACTTAGGGCATTGTACTTGCTAGGCAGATGCTCTGCCACTTGCGCCATGCCCCTAGCCTTTTTGCTTTTAGTTTAGTAGAGTCTTGCTCTTGCCTGGAGCCAGCCTTGGCCCATGATCCTGCTGCCTCCACCTCCCATGTAGCTGTGATTACAGGTGTGAACCACCTGCTTGGCCAAAAGAGAAGTTTTTAATGTACTGAGATACTTTAAAAATAGATAAAATACAATTGTGGAAAATTATTCTAACTCATACATTTTATTTATGGGGATATAATATGACCAGAGAATACTTGTACTTTTAAAATGTCTTATATCAAACCTAACAGACTGATAGTTTTTATAAAATATTTTGGTGACTTTAGATCACAATCGTATACATGCCACAGATGTCCTACATGCAGTTTGGTATCTGACAACACGGCCAATTCCAGGCTTACAACAGATCCACAATGATCATGAAACAGGAAATGAAACAGGTACTTCCTCCTACAAATCTTTCTTTTAACATAATTTTTTAATCTACTAACCATTCTAAATGATGGATTAAGATCCAATACTGCTGATATAATATGTTTCCTTCTCTTTCCCATCTTGTTGTTTTTCTTCCTTACTGATGTAGCTATTATCCTAAATGTTATGATAGTTATTCCTTTGGTATTTTTTCCAATTTTTGGGTTTTTTTCATTTCAGGTATATCATATGTAAAATATATGACATTACCAAAATAAAAGGAACATATTTAAAAGTCTCACACAAGTATTTAAATGATGGTACTTAAAACTTTCGTAAACATTCAGATTTTGCTTTTAAAAAGTTAATACTATTCTACATCATGAATCTAATTATTTAAATAAACCTAATGAATTATAACACTCAGTTCTCTTATGTTAGCTCATGAAGGGGCTGGGGGAGAAATACTTCCATCAGACACATGTATCAGGATGGAATTTTCTCAGTTGTCAATACCTGAGAAAAAATAGTACCATATTCATCAGCGCAAATGTCATAAACTCAGGCACTATTTTACCGTTTGGTAGTTGAATCTAGTGTATTTGCTCAATGTCACTGGTTCCTTTTTGTTTGCCATATATATTTACTCTTTCTAGTTCCCTTCATTCTTTCCAGCAATTCTTCTCTTCCATTAAGAATCATTTTCCTCAGCTTTTTTGTTTATAGATACATTACTTTTGTCTTAGAAGAATATTTTTATATTTCAGCATATGCAAAGGTATAATTCCATCAGATTTTTACTTTTGTAGTTTCTATTAACAAGTCAGCCTTAAGTCTTACTGAGAAATAAACTACAACGTTCCTTTTCTCTTTGCTATTGATTTTTAGTGTTTTGCTCTGATATACTCAGGTGATTTCCTTTATATTCATCCTGTTTAGATATGGCAATTGATCAGGAGAATGTTTTTCCTTCATACATGTTAGAAAGTAGGCATTTACTTAAACCTGGAAGACCTAATAGTGTATACTGTCATTATTTTAGTTCTGTGCTATGTCAAATCTTCCATTCTATATTCTATTCTAGTCTCATCCCATATATTATCAAGGTGATTCACTACATTGATGAGATAATGTTGAATAACTCCATGAATAAGAAGTAATGAGTATCATAAATGCCTGGTTAAGAGTGTCAGAGGATGAGAGATGAGAGAAATTGCAAAAACAAAAATCAAGATCTGTCAGCTCAGTGAAGTTTACAATGTTAATACTAGTAAACCTGTTGAGATATCCTCTCCAAGTTGAGGGGCAACTGATTAGGAATTCTCTACCCAGAGAACTCTGGATTCTGAAGGCAAATTCATCACATCTGAATATTCCAGTCCATTAACTCTCAAACTATGGATTTTTATGTGTTGTGTGAGAAGCATGTGAAGCAGTTTCAGGTTGTACAAGTTCTGTCATTTTTCAGTGTAACCTTCAACAGATCCAGCAGTCCTCACAGTGTCTTTTATAGATAGGTATCCTCTGCAGAGCCTCTGAAAAAACACTAAAAGAGAACCATAGCACAAATACGTACTTTTTGAGAAAAAGCTAATCCACCTTCCTCGGATTAACTATTCTTTCTGTAAAAGCTACTATATTATTACCGCATTCTAATAGATTTTGAATACATGGCCATGGATACTAGGTTATCACCTGACCTCACCATAATGAACTTGGTGCCTTTTGACCCTCCATCATATGAAATTGGCAAGTGCAGTTGTGCTCAATCATCAAGACAGTATGTTATGTATAATATTGAGCTATTCCTGAAATCACAAAGCATGAGCTTAGATTCCTATGGCACATGTTCCTAATGCATTGATACTCCTTCCTTAACCATATTTATGCTTTATGGAGAAGTTCCTTCCAAAATCCACTTGACTGAAGGAGAAGGACCAAAAGACTGGCCTTACAGATGGTTCTTCTGAATATGCCAGTTCCTTCTGAATGTGGATTAGCAAATTGGTTACAAGAAGTTCTAGAAAACAGATTTGTATATAGACTTCCCAGCATGGGCACCAAATGATGGATATTTGTTTTACATGTGAATACATACTGTGGTGATTAATTTTATATGTCAACTTATCTGGGCATTGGTACCCAGCAGTTTAGTCAAACAATAATTCAGATGTTTCCTTTATCCTTCCAACCTACCTTGCAATATTCTTAATTGTGTGAGCCAGTTCCTTAAAATCTTATTCATACTCTCTGCCTCTCCCCCTCTCCTACACATTTTATTGGTTTGGTTTCTCTGTAGAATCTTGACTAATACAGTTTCCAATGGCCATCCACTTTAGAGGAGACTTTGAATAATCAGCTGGACAAAAGTGCTGTCTTGGAAATTATTAGTCTCTTTCCGTGTCTACTACAGTTCTCATTCAGTGAGCTTATGAATGCAATAGCAAGGACAGAAAGAATAGAGATTATGTATGGGCTGAACACCATGGGCTTCTTCTCACCAAGCTGACCTTGCCCAGGCCTCTGCTGAGTGCCTGATTTGCCAAAAGGAGAGACCAATAGTGAGCCCTTTATATGGCATCATTTCCCTGAGGAGACAGCCATCTTGTGGTGGGTTGATTATATTAGATCCCTTCCTTTATGGAAGAAACAGCTTTTGTTCTCTTTATCCTAGAGATTTACTTTCACTTTCGTCAGTACTTCACTATCATCAATGAATTTATTAAATGTTTTCTTCACTATCAGGTTATTATAGACAGAATTATATCAGCTCAAGTAACTCATTTTACTACAAAAACTGTAGTAATGAGCTTACCTCCACAGAATTTTTTGATCTTTTCATGAACTTTATCATCCCACAGCTGAACTGAGAGAATGATGGAATGACATACTAAAAACTCAGATGTGGCACCTGTTAGGTGTAATCATTTTGTGGAGCTAGGGGTGCTATCCCACAATATGTGATTTTTTTTTTCTGAGCCAATCACCAATATATAGTACCATTTCTCCTATGCCTAAAATGCTCAGAACTGTGGAAAGAGGAATGTATTCTCTAACAGTTACCTCAGTTGATTCACTAAGAAAAATTTCCCTTGTAAAAAAAATGGCATACATGACTTAGTTCTCTGTAGAGAAATGCTTCCAATAGGGAAACCAAAAATGGGTTACACTGAATGGGAAACTGAGGTAGGCATCTGACCAATTTGTGTTTTCTGTGCTTTTGAACCAATAGATTTCTTTTTTAAATTATTGTATGGGGGTACGTTATAAACATTTACAAAAGTTCTAACAGTATATTATAGTTGAATTTACCCCTCTCCTCATTCTCTTTTATCCCCTCTCCTCCCCTTCCTGGAATAGTTTCAACAGGCCTCATTTTTCCGTTATGTATACATAATGCTTCCACCACATTTGCCCCCACCCTTTCTTATTTCCTCCCTCCTCCTCCCACTAGTACCAGCCCCCTAGACAAGACCTGTTTTGCCTCCCTGCTCTCTGTTTTTGTGAAAAAAAAAAAGACATTTTTGTTTGTTTAAGATAGCTACACATGGTGTTTCATTGCAGCATTTCTATGTTATGTATTATAACTCAAATCGGTTCACCCCATCTGTTTTTCTCCTCTCTACCTTAGTATCCTTCTTATGGTGATTTCAGTAGGTCTAAAGATTCTGTATTCATTCTTGTGTAGGAAGTACATCAACTACATGCACCAAAAAGAGTGATTCTTTATGACCTTAGGTGGTTGACTAGGTCTGTGTCTGATCTTACTATTTAGAAGAAGTAAGGTTCTTAATACACATGGGAAGTTGTATATCAGGAACCCACATGATTATCTGGCATTCTTGATATTCCTATGTCCAGTGGAAAAGATTATGGAAAACTATAGTGTGTACTCTTGTATGTACCAGTCATCCCAGTTGGGAGAAAGCCATGATCAACAAAGACATTGAGTGAAGACAAAGGGAACATGGAGCAGTTAATGAAATATAATGATAAATCCTAAGTGCAGCTATGTGACCAGTCTCAGAAATGAGACTATATGTATATTCTCATTTATTTAATTATATATTAGCATAAATTAATTGTACAAAAGAATTTAATTGTATATTTCTGTGAATACATTTAATATACTTTGATCAAATGTACTCACTCTATTATGCTTTCTCATTCTCCCTGACCTTCTTTTTAAAACAATTTTAACAGGTTTTATTATTCTATTTTCATACATGTGCATAAAAGAACTTTGATCATATTCATACTCCACTCCTTACTCCCTGTTTTTTCCCTACCTAACACTGGGCCATACACTCAAAACAGTCTCCATTTTACATTCCTGTCAGAAGGTCTTTCTGCATGTGAGAGAGTATGTGTGTTCCCTTATTTTATTTAACATAATGATCTCCAGTTCCACCCATTTCCATATATACATATATATACATGTACATATACATATATATACATATACATATATATGTACATATACATATATATACATACACATACATACATATGCATATATATACATGCATATGTACATGTCCCACATTTTCTTTTTTTTTTAATTATTCATTTATTCACATGTGCATACATTGCTTGGGCCATTTCTCCCCCCTGCCCCTGCCTCTACCCTCTTCCCCATTACCTCCTCACTTCCAGCCAGAACCCGTTCTGCTCTTCTCTCCAGTTCTGTTGAAGAGTAGAAATAAGCAATAATAAGAAAGACATAGCATTTTTGCTAGTTGAGATAAGAGCAGCTATACAGAGAGATTCCTAGCATTGCTTTCATGTACAAATGTGTTACAACCCAGATTGATTCATCTCTAACTGATCTTTACACTGGTTCCTGATCCCCTTCTCATGTTGACCTCTGTCGCTTTAAGGTTTCTGTATTAATTCCTCTGGAGTGGGGACATCAAATACTATCATGTTTTGGGTTTTCTATCTAACCCTGTACCTCCCATATGTGTTCTCCCCTTGTCATGTAATCCAAGTCCTACAACATTGCTGTATTTGCCCTACATCTAAA